TAGGGATAAAGATTGTAACCCGCCCAAATGGTATGAATGTTGTGTTTTAACCATGTATTGTTTTATATGTAAAAGTCTGTTTTCCCCCCTTCCTTTGGATTGTGAGCCGCCCTGAGTCCCCCCAGGGAAAAGGGCGGCATATAAATAAACCTCTAAACCTCTAAACTTCTCACCGGCTCAAGGTTGACTCAGCCTTCCATATGAGCCATATGCTGACTCTGTAAACCACTTAGAGAGGACTGTAAAAGCACTAGGAAGCGGTATATAAGTCTAAGTGCTATTGCTACTTCCATGAAGTTAATGTTAACACAGATTCATATAGTTTAGAGTATTATTTTTATCACAAGGTACCATGTATTTCTGTAACATCCAAATGTAGGCATTAAACGAAGAAAGCAGAAAGATAAAAGAAAGCCACTGGATTAAAAAAAAGTAATCTTGAATTTTAAAAATATTTCAGTCCCTAGTAAAGTTATTTTTAAAAAATCAGCTTAAGACTCAGGTAAAGGATATATTATTTTCCAAAATAAAGTAACCCTAAATTACAGTAGCTAAACTTTATTACCATTTTTGATTATTAACATCTCTGCGCACACCCAGAAGGGATGAGGAAGGCTGTTTGAACAGCTCATACTATATTCAAATAAATCCAACAGGCCATCATATGGAGCAATTACAATTTTGCACATATACTCCAAGAAATAATAAATTCTGAGCAAATAAAGTTTTATATATTTAAAAGTTCCTAGACTAAAATAGGATTATTTTTTAGTGATGAAACAGCAAGATAAAACTGAATAAATAAAGATTTTATGAATATATGGCTAGCATCAACTGTTATGACAAGAACAATGGACTGGAGAACATATATGCAAAATAGGGCTACTATATCCATCTGGAGTCATCTTGGTGACGATTAGGTGATAACAAAGAGTTTGGGGTTTTTATATTTCTTTGCTGTCATCTGGATATTTGCAACCCAGATCCTTCATCTTATCAGAAAAAGGTATTGTACCAAGATCCATCATTATCTCTGCATACTAGAATACCCCATAGACAGCAGATGTTTTGAAATTTATCTTAAAAACAGTCTCTGAACTACTCATTATATCATAAAATTTTTATTGAGGTTTACCCTATCCTACAAATTTTTATAATATTGTTTTTCTTTATTATTATACTGTAGTGCTTGCAATCTGACAGTTATTTTGGAGCACAGCAACATTAGTTGGTATGCAAAAAAAAATTCTGAGGCCACATATCGCCATGCCATTCAGTTCAATGGTTCTGGAAATATGAAATCATATATTCCACAGCTGGAACTATTTCATTCTCTTTACTCGATGAACACACAATATTCAAGAATGCTGACTTTGACATCACTATTTATGCCACTAAATCAATGTAAGCATCTATAACATTTGCATAATGTAGATGAACTGTAGAATAGTGAACAAATGGACAAAACAGAAGAGCTTGCCTTATCTTACATAAGTTGATGGACTGCAACTTAGCTAAAATATCACTTTGAGATATTTGAAGTATTTATTTACTTACTTATTTACTAAGGAGCAATTTCTATTAAATTTAGAGGACTTAACTTTTGATACGGAAGTATGCAACTGTGTTACTTAAAAGTAGTTTCTTTGACTAAGTAGTTTTTGGCTTTCAATCTCCATGGCTGCATGCCAAACTATACTTGTTGAATTTGCCTCTTTTACAAAACACCACTCTTTTGCATATGGTTATCCTTCTCAATAGACTGGCTTAGCGCCAAACCACGTTTC